GATCGGCAAATCAGATCAGCAAATCAGAAGAAGGTACACCCGCCACTGCCAGATTACAATAGCCCGGTGCGGGGAAATGTCTCCATCTACATTGACAGCGTTAAAAAAATTGTGAATATTTTCAAGAAAAAACTATAAATGTACCGCAAATGTACCGCAATAAGTACTTTAACATTTAAGTATACTTCTCCATTAAATGTATTATTTACATCAGTACAGTTTTATACAGTATGTCTTTAGTTATACATTTATATTATTTCCTTGATTTTATAATGGGAATACATAAATGGGCTTATTTAATAACACAACACAAAGAGCAATGGTGTGCAGTAAACCCCTGCAACTAATCAGAGATTAACTTTAATTAGTCTGTGTACTTATAGGTACTGGAACATTAATTGTAATTGCCTGCTATGGGTAGGTGCACATTATTACTTCTGTTTGTACCTTTCTAAAGAAAATGCAGAGCCAATGTAAATCAATAAAGTGTTCTTGTAAAAACCAGTCAGCAACGTGCAGGCAGCAGGGTAGAAGCTTGGTCAGAGGAAGAGCCGGGGGCAGAGCTGAGTGGGTAATGCAGTACCAAAACAGAAGGCAAACACAGGTGTCTAAATACGAGCTGAAGTCAGGATCACCAGAGCATCAGAAGAGAGGTCAGGACAAGCCGAGTCAGCAACAGGAAGTCAGAATCGGGGTTTCAGGATCTCGGGTACCAGGAAAGCTGATGATCACTTAGCACAGAGGGCTTGGAGTACACAGGTTAAATTGCCCGTTTGGCACCAGGATACATTGCATGCCGTGAGACACGCACACCGGCGCGTGCATTTGCACAGTGATGCATGACCCGGCCTGGTTCTGTGAACCACACTGAGTGTATGCACATGTGCAGACGCTTGCGCAACTCCTCCTTACCATCCTATCTTGCATTTTATTGTGATTGTAATATATTCCTTATATTGTAAAGCGCTACGCAAACTGTTGGCGTTATACAAATCCTGTATAATAATAATAATAACTCTTTTGGCACAGAAGTCTTCACAGAAAGTTGAGTGCATTTTTAAGATATAAATTCTGACTTTAGTGTCACTTTCACTCAGAGAGCATACTTAACCCCTTCACGACCCATGACGGGATAATCCCGTCATGAATCCTGAAGTGGTTAAACAGAAAAGCCTCCGGGACTCTGTTCAGATTTGTAGAGCCGGCGGCCGTCTCTACAGTAGAAGAGATTCTGGCGGCTCTGCTCCGCCAGATCGATTCTACGATCCGTTAAATGGGCCACTCCCCTCCCGTCCGACACCCCTCCCATGTTTCCCGGGCTTTCCCTATGGGCCCAGGACTGGCGTCTCAGGAGTCGGCGGGAAGCTGGGGAGGAGGGTGGCGAACGTACGTTCACCGATCTCCTCCCCGTTCTATGGGACCGTGAGTGACGCGTATTGCATAACTTCTGGTCCCATAGTTGTCATTGGTGGGCTCCTGAAGCCCAGCTATAAGCTATTGAAGTGCGATCTGTACTTCAATAGCTTATTTAAAGTAGAAAGGTGATACTAGGGGTCTTTTGGACCCCCCGTTTTACCCTAAAGAGTACCTGTCACCACCAATATGCTATCACATGGTGGGCTTGTAAGCCCCCTTATGTGATAGCAATTAAATTAAAAAAACAGTTTTAAAAATAACATTAAATAAATTAAATGTAAAAATAATGTAAAAAAATGTTTTTAAAGACCCCCGCCCCTGCGAGCACATGCATCGTCATGTAAACATGCGTCTGGTGCGCCCATGTACGATAACGACTATTGCGCTACACATGTTGGGTATCGCCGCACACCCCAGAGTGAGAGCAATAATTCTAGAGCCAATATTTATGTGTATCTCTAAACTGATGACCTGTAGGGGCTCTTAAAGCGTTGTATATGGACTTTGTGGAGTACTGAATTCTGTTGCAGTTTCACGGACGGACACAATTTGTAACCTGGACATGTTGGGTATCTATTTAATCGTCGCAACTTCATCTTATACTGTATATTTTGAAAAAATGGTTTTATATAGTGATTTGGGGCACTAAATTTAACTTAAGTGCATTTTTCACAGTTGGGTTGCAACTGCCACCATTTTATAGGATCTTGGCTTTCAGAAAATATATAATGTTTGGCGGTTTTAAGTAATTTTCAGGCCTAGAATGTGGATTATAACATGTAAACAAAAAATGAAAAAAAGGTCTTTGTCCTAAAGGGGTTAAAAATGCTCAGGTTTCACAGGTTGACCCTCTTGTCCTAAAGTTTTATTTGGCTGAGAACTAATGGTACAGGCCAAACTGAAATTGGCTGAACATAGGTTTTCTTGCAATGCATGCAATGAACATGCCTTTGTGTTCAAGTCTGTCTCAGGGCCAGTGGCGTCACAAGGGAGGTGCGGCCCGCACCCGGGTGCCACCATTGGAGGGGTGACACCAAAATGACTCACAGTCATTTTGGTGTCACCCCCCTCTGAAAAGTCGGGCGCTCGGTCATGGACCGAACGCCCGACAGTATCAGGAGAGAGGAGGGGACCCACCGGCATACCTTATCCCGCCGGGTGACTGTCCCCTCCTCTCTCTGCCGGCGTCCATCACCAAGATGGCCGCCGGCAGGTATCAGAAAACTGCCGCGCGTGCGCGATGACGTCATCGCGCACTCGGTTACCGCTCCGGGTGTCACCCAGCCTCGGGACGCCCCTGCTCAGGGCTAAATGAAAAGCACAGGACTATCATTTTATGCCATATGCTAACTGCAACACATGGTATATGGGCATGGAGAAAGCTCCCATGAATTTCTGTCATAAACCTCACATTGGCAAAACTAAGACAAATAATACAAACTCTTTTCTTAGTAGAAGATTAAAATGCAGTCAATATTCATTATCATGACTTTTAGCTGCATGCATTGATGTTAAGGTAACAATAATAATTTTTTTCATCCTAACCGTGGTAATAAAAAAAAGTTGTTACTGATGCCGGTGGTCCAGAGGATCTCTGACGTTATGTCTGCCCTCATTGAAATGCAAACAGATTTCAGGATTATCCTCAGCTGCTGCTGGGCTATGGGCCATGATGCAGATGGAAACATCTGCCAACCTTCATGGTTTTTCATGCTGTGTCAATAGCTTTGAATCTATAAGTGTAGCTAGCATGGGCTGATTCACTCTATTTTATAGCAAACTAGGACGACTCCATTTTGGACATTTAAAATGCATAGAACCAATGTACTTCATGCCACCTTTGGATTTAATTAACTAAAGGGAATTTTTGTAGACTGAAAATCACTGGATGTTCTGCTTGCCATTGTCAAACACAAGGAAAAGAAAATAATGCCCCATAAGTTGTCAGCTGTGGCTATGATCACATGCAACATTACCTTGTGTGTGAAAACATAATATGTGCAACAAATATTTGGCTGGGTCATGTCTTCTCTTCTGGGTGGCAATGCAGACCTTTTGAATAGCTCTCAAAATCTTCTTAAACAGGCCATTGTGCTTGTACAGTTATTTCAAATTCATCTTGGCTCGGTTACAAAGACAGTTTCCTCTTTTAAGTAACCAGCTTTCTTTTTCTGTCCTTCTCTGGCATCCTTGAATGTTGTGTGAGCCTCACATTGTGCAGTGCTCAAGTGTCAGAAAGAGACATGCTGTGTACAAGGTGGAGCAGAACATAATGTTCTGTGTATATCTCTGCATGCATGCAACAGACTTGTTTTTTGCAAAAAGAGGGATAAGCGATATGAACTGAGGACTTCCAGCACTCGCTGAGCTTTTATGGCATAGGCTGGCATGCACATGAAATTAATACAAGTTTTTAGTAGAATTTTAAAGTGCATTAAGGACATTTATTTAGATTACTATAGTATAGTATCTTCTGTTTAATCCTAAAGGCATTCTGATTTTCAGATATCAACTATCAATGCACAGTTATTTTAATGCATATGTAGCCCCTACCACCTTTAGTGGAGTGGCTACTAGAAATTTAGTGTTTGCCCGAGCTATAGTCAGTCTGGCTGAATTATAGCTGCCATTTATCTGGTTAATTCCAGGTGTTCTGGCATTGATTGTACCTGCCTGAGTGTTGTATGACTCTGCTACAGTGTGGGACATCCAATCAGGGGCACTGTGAGTGTATATGCATTACACCAGCCAACCACTGGGACCCTCATGACCAGTGTTGCATGCTGGGACAGGGCATATAAACTCAAGGAAATTGCCTTGTGCTCAGTCTGGATCCAGCCATGAATAGTCCAGGTTGGGGTGCTGTCCAGCCTGCCCTCGGGCTAGGCCTGGGGGTGGGAATAACTGAGTGTGGAAAATGCTCTTTCATGCTAGAGGAGGCCTCTGCTATTGTAGAAGGAGAAGAACCAGGGAAGCTGATGGCTGCTGGTGGTGCCTCGAACATAGTGGACCTCAGGAGCAATTTATAGGCACACTAGTGCCACCATCATTGAGCAAACCTCTCTTAATGGCTTTGACTCCGGCTGTCACTGCTGCTCCTTGATGCTTCACCTCCTTCCATAACATCTGTGTCTCTTGTTCCTTCTATTCTCTCCAGTGTGGACTGAAATGCAGCCTTATGAGCCTTATGAGGACTGAAGGAGTAGTGGCAAAATGTATGTCCTTTGCAGGCCTTTCATTGTTTAGGCTTTCCTCCTTGTTTCTCACTTTACTTACTTTTTTTGTCCTACACTTTTGTAAGTCACAGACTCTCGGTTGATTCAGCAAGTTGCCACCAGTCAGATCTGACCTCTGGCAAACACATGTCCAGTATCTATGGCACTAGTAAGATCTGCACTACAGTGCATACACTTGCCTACACAGTAGCCGTGTCACAAAAGAGATTCCTCATCCCTTTCTACACACAGTGCCTCATCCCTCTTTATTACCAGCCGTTTTTCACACTATAATAAACATACTGTAGTTGTTTAAACCTCTATATTACAGTGTTTTGTACCCTTATATAACGCACAATAGCTCATTACTCTTTTTTACAATCAGTGCCCTATACCTTTCTATTGTTTGATCCAAATTTTATCGAATCAACGAATGCACATTTCTATTAGACTTAGTGGATTTTACATGCAAATTATGATATGTCATGGACTTCAAAACAATACCCAAGCTCGGATCACGAAGCTGTAAATCCCAATCCAAAATCTACATAATTAACCCTGAATTACCCATTTAAAGAATGGACACATAGCTAACCTCATGCTAAAAATGTAAATACTAAAATGCATTAATATCACACGCTTCATAATTGCTCAGCTTGTCACCATTTTAAAAAATGAAACTTTTTTTGTGTAATCATCAGTGATTTTTAGACAGTTGCTTGATGGAATGTAAAGGGGTCTGTGCATACTTTTTCGACACCTTTAGTGAGTTTGTTGAAAGTCAATTTAAGTAATAAAGAATACTGACCTTTAGGTTGGTTTAAGACTGTAGATCTAAACAGAGATTACAGAACACTGCATGTTCTTTTAAAACAGGAAACACTCTCCTAAGCACCATGTGAGTTAATGTAAATATCAGTCCTATACTTGCGCCGTGTCCTCATATATACTTCATGTCCCTTTCAGCTTTTCCTTTTTACACCAGACTACTTAAATAGTTTGAAAGAGAAAGAATGACACGCTGAATGATATGTTTCTGGCTGCAGCTTTGTTCCATAGTTTATAATAGCTCCATGGTTTTTCCTTTCAGAACTAATTGTTCATTTTACCTCACTAGAAATGTCATGGTGGATATTGCTGAGAGAAGTCTCACAGAACATGAAATAATGACTGTCGGACGTTACTACAGTGTACGTGAGAAGCCAGAGGTTGATTTAGGCCTTCTGATGACTGTAGCCCAAGAACAGCTGAAGAAAAAGTCATTTGAGAACTTCAACAAACTCACTGATGCCTTTGTTTATAATGACCGCGAAAGGTAAAAACAAATTGTCATAGATTATATATGTAAGGAATCGGCAACCGTTGCCTCCCAAATAGGTTTTGTAACTTGACTCAGCATCCTGTATGCACCGCAGAGTGAAGTAATGGGTAAACATTCAAAAACACTGGAAAACCAACTATTGGCCCTTGTGAAGAAATGTATTTTTATATATGGTTGTTGGTTACCCTACAAGTAGAACTGTGGCCTACCGTTAAAAAATATACGTACCGTCACATTTAATTGTATATGCATCTCCACTTACAATTTTCTTTTACTCCTTTCGCAACCTCACATACCTATGGATACGGCGAGTGAAGTCCACCTCATGCAGTTTCCTTTGATGAGGTGACACTGTTGCTGCACTTATCCTGAATTCAGAGCAGTGTTGTCACCCACGTGTAGGGTGTGCCTGCTTGTATAAGTGGGACAAGACGTTGCAGGAGGTGTAGCTATGTAGTATGTAGCATTGTCACTGCTGATTTGCAAGCTTGTCAGTCAGCACCTGGCCACACCTAGTCCTGCCCACTGCTTTCTGGATGGGTAGCAGTTACTGTGCTGCTGAAACCCTCCCAGTGTGAGCTGCAGTGCCTGGGAGAGGAGCATGTGAGACACGAAGGATTTCACTCACGCAGCAGAAATAAAGGATTTTTTTTTACTTAGTGACACTTGTGCATCACATAATTTCTGGATCTGGAACCTGTTTAGACTGGCACACGGGAGCTTTTAACCACTCTTGGGAGCTCTCCCAAGAGTGGTTAAAAAAAAAGGTTAGCTCTTTGCTTGAGTAGGGACTGGGTGTTCAAGTAGGAAAAATCTAAATTAATTTTATTCAGTCTCTTAAAGTAAATCACAAAAAGACAATGTGTGTACTGGACCAAAAAATTGGAGGGTAATTTGTATGATTGCTCCAGATGTACAGGCTTAAAGTGACACTAAGCTCAGGAGTTAAGTTATACAAATTCATTCAAGTACTTGTCAAGTAAAATGTGTATCACTCAGCTGTAGATCCTCAAATCATCTCTGAATTGATGCTGACACTCTCCTTCCTTCTGGAGGGTGGCTACTTTTGTTCAGCATGGTCCCTGTGTGTGTTGTAAAGTAGCCCCCACTCCAAATTCAATCCTATGATTGACTACAATCTTAATACAAATTAGTAATCTAAATGTGAGATTGTAGTCCATCATAGGATTGAATTTGGAGTGGTGGCTACTTTACAACACACACAGGGACCATGCGGAACAAAAGTAGCCACCCTCCAGAAGGAAGGAGAGTGTCAGCATCAATTCAGAGATGATTTGAGGATCTACAGCTGAGTGATACACATTTTACTTGACAAGTACTTGAATGAATTTGTATAACTTAACTCCTGAGCTTAGTGTCACTTTAAGCCTGTACATCTGGAGCAATCATACAAATTACCCTCCAATTTTTTGGTCCAGTACACACATTGTCTTTTTGTGATTTACTTTAAGAGACTGAATAAAATTAATTTAGATTTTTCCTACTTGAACACCCAGTCCCTACTCAAGCAAAGAGCTAACCTTTTTTTTTTAACCACTCTTGGGAGAGCTGCCTAAGGATAATCATTCCCTCTACACACCTTACTGAGAAACTTCAAGAAATCTTATGCCCCATACCTTTGTTCTACTTACTTATTAAAAAAACATAGGTTCTAAATGTTTCTCCCTTTAGGCCTTGTTCACACCAAGCGCGTACCATGAACAGAGCAGAGCAGTTACAGACCGGAGCAAAACTGCATCCAATGTATTCCAATGGTATTTTTAGCTCCAGTTCACATCGCAGCGTTCCGTTCCAACCATCAGTATCCAGTGGCCGGCGGGCCCCCCATCGCTGCGCTGGGAGTGTCGGATGAACGGATGATCCGACACTCTCGGCGCAGAGATGGGGGGCCCGCTGGCCGCTGGGTACCGATCGGGCGCTGGGACTGTGCTGGGCCCCCCACAGGCCCGCGGCCCTGGCGCACCCGCCCCGCCTGCATCGGCGGTAGTTCCGCCACTGAGTTGGGGTTTCTTCTAATTAATTTATTTTTCATTAATGAGAAAATGTAGTTTCCAAGAGAGTTCCCCTTGCTACCCCTACACCTTTCTTAGAGCACATAAGACCTCAGATACATGCATACAAGTGGAACTGACAAGAATGGCCTGCTGAAAAGCACTGTTTTTTACATCCTGTATACACATGCACTTTTGACCCCCATAGGAAATATTGGTCCTGTCTCTAGAGAAGGGAGATCTGTGATTTCCTTATTATTTCCTGTGGGAGTCAACATCACATGTTTAGGACTACAAGAAAAAGTCCTGGATTGCTAGCTGTAAACCAAACCACAGCTTCTGACAGTCCAAACCTGTAAGCTCCAAGAAAGCATGCAGCTGAAGTCTGTAACTGAGTTTTTTTGTTCTGAAAATGGGGAGAGGGGTGGGCTAGGAGAACATAAATAAACATAAATGCAAAAACAATGGAGAAAGTCCAGGACATCGTCAGTGCCAAGCCAGAGGTCAGAAGCAACAGCGGGTAATCAGCCAAACCAGGTCAGGGAACACCGAGAGCAGGACGAATGGAAAAAAAAACAGAGTCGGGAACCAGGAGATCAGTGAGGCAGAGCCAGGGTCATACACGGTGAACTGGTACAATAGCAGTGCATTTGGTTGATCAAAACAAACGCAAGGGCGCAGACTGAATGGACAAGCTGATGGTTAAATAGTGAGCTGGTGTTTGCATCATCACTCTGAGACAGGAAATTGCCAGAGTGTGCAGAATGATGATATTTAAATACTGGTTTGAGCATAGGAGGGCACCAAAGAGGAACAACAGTGCCAGAAAAACTACACAAGCCATGCTGCAAGCAACTGGACAAGGATAGGTAAGAAACCCTAACAGTCAGCAACCTCCTCCATCAGCATTGGTTTACACCACCCCTAGTGGTTCTGCAGTCCTCATCACTGAGATGGTGGATTACATGAATATTTTTCACTACAGGCCCCAATGGAGAAGCAGTCTCTTTGGTGGCATGCAAGCAAAATACTTCTCGGTAATGACCTATGCGGAAAAGGCACAGACCATAGTTTCCTACTGGCTAATCTGGGTATGTTAGGGATGGGGGGCTTTACTTGGTTCTAGTACTGTTATCTTTTAAGTTTCAAATTTGACACCAAAACATTACTCTAGCTCTTATCTGCCAATCATGAATGTTTAACAGAAGGTGTCCATACTAGTACTGACTTCTGGGAGAGTTAAATTGTTTTTAAACCTGATTTACTGAAGAATAGGATGTATATGGGATGTCCCAAAATTTTAAGGGTGGCAGATACCTTCTGGATAATGAACAAATGCTGCCTCTGCAGTCTTGGTAGTTTGCTTATAGTTTATGATGCATGGCCAAATATAACATACCCTTGTATGAGCCCAAATTAGGTTGACTGAACCATGCATATGTATCCACACATAATACATTATTGTATGTTGTCTGCGTATCAAACATTTGACACACTCTGCTGCATAACACAATATAACTCAGCTTCAAAGAGAACATTTTGTCTAAATAATATGGGGACCTCAAAAACGACTGTGCAGTTGAATCAGACCTTGCACACAGATGTACTAGACTGTACTTCTAGCCAGTCTTGTTGCTATACCATTTATTTGAGCGTATAATTCTCACTTTACAATTGTTATCAAACTCTATGCTGTAATGTGTAGTAACTTTTTTTTGATTCATCTGTATGTATTGAAAATGTTAACAATAAAGTTTTATGTCATATTTCTTTTGTCATGTTTTTTAAAGGAAAGGTTTACTTCCATTCCAAGAAACTAAAACTATCTGCAAAGCCTTCAAACTACCATTAGCTGATGACCTCCTTCGAGTTATATTACAAAAGTGAGTTACCTCTATTCATATTACAGACATGCTTGCATATGTGTCACTTACATAAGGAATTAAAAATATTTCTAGGTGAATATAAGAAAAAACACCAATGAATTCTTCCAAAAGTCATAATATCATTTTTTAGTGCACATATAGTAATTGTCTTCGTACTGAGTTAGCAAGCAACAAGTAAAACCTGAAATCAGCCTGCAGCAAAAGTACTCATCTCACATTCATTAGTTAAACAAACATATTTTTCTTTTAGTTTCAATTTCTTTCTTTCCACTTCCTGGTCCACTTTGGCACAAATGGTGTAATTGTGCCCAAACATTGCATCCTGAGGAGGTTACATCAGCAGAGCATTGCTGGAAAATCCCATCTGTAATCTCAAGAGATCTCAAGAATCTCTTGAGATTCTTGGGCATTCTTGGGCATTTTCTACCACTGAGATTATGTGCCTGGTCACATGTCCTAGTCACATGTGCCAGAGTTTCGGAAAGTAAAGGGAGGTGGATTCATCTGCCCTTAGTAAAAATGGCCACTGTGAGAAAAATGGGGAGCAAAAGAAAAATAAGGTGTGCAAAGAATAAAAAGCCGGCAATTATCTAGAAGTATTTGTTTGTAGATTGTCATCACTAAACATTTCTAAAGGTAACTTTGTTGTTATTTTGGAGATATGGGTAAAGTTCCCCTTTAAGTGTACACAAGGTAGAGACCTCAGGATGGACATCAAAAGTATGGCACGCAGTAGGCAGGTAGTGGCACAGGGTTTTCAGAGCTGTGGCATCTAATGAGTGTTGACACCTTCATGATAATTAGCTATAGTACACTAGGGTTGGGGGATCACAGGAATATGTGCATTACTTTGCAAACTCTTGGCAGGTAAAACAAAGCCTTTATGTGTTCCAGCTTTGTATTTTGGCTGCTTGACTGGAGATGTCCTTTAAAATGTTGAATGCAATATTTGCTCATGATCATATGTGTAAAAATAGTGTATGTTTTGTGCCATAAAGTGAATTTTCACTACAACCTAAGGGAAAATTCCTTTGCAAAGTGAACAGCCTATTTGCCTTTACAGCCCCATATTTATTGTTTTCTAAATACATCTGTATTTAAGTAAAGCATTCATGCTTTACCTGCCCCTGAATTCGGAAGCTTTGTCTCATACACCAGATATCTGCATCGAATTTAGGCATATGCAAGTCCGGATAAGGAGCTGATCTTTATATTCGTTTTCTGCTTTGGAGGGTTTACCACTTAGGAGAAGAAATTGTGTGCCCCATCCTTGGATCAGTCAACACAGTCTGCTCTGTAGTAGCTAATGCATTTACAGCTGGTCGACTTACTTCTAACATAGAAAAATAATGACACAAGCTCTGACTCAGGAACACCATAGATTGTAGTTACTGCTGTCCAAGATGATCAGCAGGGTTGGGAAAAAGACTGCTGAGTATTACACACTAATGCTTTCCCCCTTGTTTCATGTTATTGCACGTGTTCTGTTAGAGCTGAACTGTACGCAGATATGAAAAACCCCAAATAATGCAGTTGATTAATAGTCAATACATTTCTGTTTTAGGCAGAATTTACATCTGTACAACATATGCTATAACCTGTGTTTTATTGCAGGTTACCACAATGCACATGAATGCATGTTACTCTTTATTGCATTCCAGTTCATTGGCATTCATTCTGAAAGGCGCCCCTCTGCACATATACAGTAACAAATGGACCTGCACTAAAGCACAGCACAAGATGCAGTTGTAAATGCTTTGTGTATTTTGGTGCACTGTGTTTCCCAGAAAAAGTGCAGCTGCTTTTTTTTCATGTATTTTTTGTGTGCTGGCCCTCAGCCCAACTAAATTAAGTACCGTATATACTCGAGTATAAGCCGAGATTTTCAGCCCATTTTTTTGGGTGAAAAGTGCCCCCCTCGGCTTATACTCGAGTCAGCGCCAGCGCGTCTTCTTACTTACCTCGCCGAGCGTCGCGTCACTGCTGCTCGGTGTGGTAACCAAATATGTCTTGATACCAGCCTCTTGTAAATTTTATACAGACTAGGAGAGGGAACATCAGTCTGATATAGTCAGTCTCTGCTGCATGCACATGTGCTATCTAGAATATGCTGACAGAAGGAAAGAAGGCTTAAAAACATTCTAAAGTCCCAGCATGTACTATCCTGTTATAACATTAGCATTGTAAACATCTACAACTATGCCCTGGATAGCGTGAAATGCGTTAGAGGGGCAGACCAAGGGCCAGACAGCGTCTTTCCGTGTTTAGCTGTGCAAGCCAAAATAAAACTTCCTTCAGCATGATCTAAAGTGTGCGGCTAAATCTTCCTTTATTGCAAAGGTGAATATATTGGAGCATGGATGAGCTTGTTTCTCTTCCATGCGGTCATGAGGCCATGAAGGAGTGGTGTAGATCGTAAGGGATTCAATCAATGATGATGTTAGATAGTAAACTCTCACGGGCAGGCCCCTCTTTACCAGCATGTTTTGACTTGTAACTGTAATGTCTTTCTTATATTGTAAAGCACTGCTCAAACTGTTGGTGATATATAAATCTTGTATAATAATAACAATAACAATAATAATGTCACATTGTTTGAAGTTCAGATGATGAGTTGTAGTTCAGATTTTGAGTTATAGTTAAGGTGGCAGGCTTAGAGTGGTGACACAAAGGAAGTGCATATATAAGGGGTGAGTGAAATTTTTTCTGTACATTGAGGAAGTATATCCTATGAGCACCTTCAATGAGTAAGTTTACAAACTTCTAGATCAATATAGTTATTAGCAGTGGTATAAAACTCATGAAAATTCAACATAGAAATACATATTTATTTTCTAGTTTTTGACCATTAGATATCCTTTAATTAGCTGCTTCTTCATTGTCCAGTTACAGGCTTGGGGTAGGGAAGGGTCCAATTGCATTGCTCAACTGCAGTACAGAAAAAAACAACCTGAGCTTATTGATCCACCTGACTGCTTTCTGGCAGGGATGTGTAAATCTCGGGACCGGCTCAACTAAAATCCAAATGATTTGGCAGCTAAAACAGCTTCATTTGTGTATTTATTAGTTTGCCTGGAGTTCAGCTTTAATGCTTGTAGTGGAAGCATAGCACATCTACATCTTTCACTTTAAAACTTTGCAGTGCATATATGATATACTACTTACAAGGCTCATGGTATTTCATACAGAAGTAATCGTTTTTACCTTATGGTTCACAATAAAGTCGTAATGTATTGTGAATTGGGACAGGGTGGCCAAATGGTTGTCTCGTTATGTAAAAGCATGGAATATTACAAAAACACGGTTCAGTAGGGGACAGAAAAGAAGTGATGATAGAATGAAAACAGTACAAAGACAGATCAGGCTCCCATCAGTGTAACAAACTCACCATGTCAACAAATGTAACAAAATATGTGTCGTAAGCGGCAACTGCACAGATTTCACATGTGGTTCCAGTTTGTGCAGTTTTTGGGACTGATACTAAATCTTAAAATACAGAAACTACTCTTATTCTTTGTAATGTTCTTGTAATGGTTCCCATGTTGGATCCATGCCAGCGTCCTCAATCAAATACTTTATATAATTACTTACATGTAAAAAATGTGGTAGCTTTGTTTGAGTCATGTATATGTACTCATGTAATATATGTTGTTTGCTTTGTTCAGACATGAAGAAAGTGAAGGAGAAATTAATTATGTGAAATTGATGTCAGGCCTTAACTGGCGAGAAAATCCAAGTCCAGCAAGACAAACCACACCAATTAAGGTAAACTATCAGAATATGTTATATTATTCTGGCTCCCTGCCCCCCTGTCCTCCCCTCCACTTGTTCTTTTATTTTATACTTTTTTCAGAAGTTTTCAGGCCGGTCAAGAGAGGCATAGTACCCTGGGTGGTCTTTAATGACGCAGGGATCGGCGATGATGTGATGGCATCAGTACTGTTCTCTGCATCATTATAATGTGTTTGCAGAGTGCCATGCGCCAGGTGGATCCATGATGCCTTGCACTCACAGGATGTGGGTTGAATGACGCTAGGCGTCATTCAACCCAGGCGTCAGAAGGGGACCAGTGATGGATCGTAGCATGAGTGAGTCTGCAGGGAACAGTGAGAGCGTTGTTTTATGCTTTAAAATGCCAGGGGGTCCTGTTGAGCTTTAAGGTGCCCTCCCACATAACAGGGATTGGGCAGATTAAATTGCTTCAGAGCTATTCTACTGGAGTGAGTTAGTGAATTTTGCATGGGTTGCATTGGTGCATGTATTTCTCATACATCTACTGCTGTTGCCCTCTACACCAGAATTTATCAACCTTTTTTCAGTCACAGCACCCTTTAAGAGTATGCAAAATCTCGGGGCACCCCAGTCTAAAATGTAGAAACCATAAATGTAAAGAAAAAAATCCATACTACACCATTATGCAAGATAACAGTCTGGTATGGATAGTAAGGGGGAACTCCATGCAAAGACAACAAAAAGAGGGATTCCCGCTTCACATCAAAGTTCCCCCTTCACATTAGGGGACCCCCTTTCACTGCAGACTCTCCCTTTTCATATCAGAGCCTCCCTTTACTTCAGGAGCTCCCTTCACATTAGTTAATGGGGGCCTCCATTAACATTAAATTCACTCCCTCTCACACAAGGGGTCACTCTTCACATCAGACAAGAGTCCATGAACCCATCACACTCCTGACCGCTTACTCCAAACAAGACAAGATGGGTGATGGCAGGCGTCATAAACATAAGTAGAAACAGAGACACCGGCACTCAATTGCGAATGCATAAACGTCTATTTATTGACGAGGTGCAGCATATCGTTTCGGGGTCACGCAGGATCCCCTTCCTCAGGCAGTGACATGTCACTTGCCTGAGGAAGGGGATCCTGCGTGACCCTGAAATGTTCGTTGCATTAACTGTGATATGCTGCACCACGTCAATAAATAGACATTTATGCATTCACAATTGGAGTGCCGGTGTCTCTGTTTCTACTCTTCACATCAGATCCCATCTCTTCAAATCAGAGGCATGAAGCTCTGTGAACATTTCTGGGCACCCCTGAGGAAGCCATAAGACACCCCAGGTTGAGAAAGGCTAAGCCACACAATCCATACATTGAATTTTTGCCTGTCTTTACCCGAGTCCAAGTTCAGGCTCTGTGGCCTGATCTACTGTATGTGTGTATGGCCGGGTTTTAGTTGCATTTTTCAGGCTGAAATTGTGCAAAGACACTTTTTCTTTAAAAATTGTTCATGATGTTATGCCTAACATTTGAACAAATGTATTACAATTTGGTGCTAAATTTCAATGATTCAATGATACGAATATATTTATATTTCTTTTAATAATATTGGATGGTGTTTAAGATATCTAGTTCACGTACACATAACTAATTTTAGCGCTACACTGTTTATAATTTTATAATAATATAAATTTGATTGCTTTAAATGAATGGGAAGTTAGAGCTTCAAATGCTGTGGCAGGATAAAATACTCTTTCCATATGCCATATATACCAAATCAATGTTTTCCCAGACATTTGGAAAATAAATAGGGAGTCGCATATTGGGGTTCTGGCCTTTTTGTACAAGTTATATTATTTGCTAGATTTCCAGTGTAGAGACAGAAGGAGGGCACATAACTATTCAGTAACAGTTTCATGTAATAGCCGCATGGTGGAAAATATACAGGCTGTGAGAGTAGATAGGAATGAATGCAAGTCATTCTCTTCTATTTGTAGTGCACAATTGTGACAACTGATATCAGAAGTTTTAACATTCTTTGAACTATTATTGTCACAAATGTGAGACCAAGGAAGAAATTGGGTTTCTGTATGATAACAGTATACTGTATAAATATATAGTCATTGTGCCATGCTGTGTATGTCTTTTCAGTCTTTTAAGTAGACATGACAAGTTTATTTTTTTAATGATATCAGTCATGTGGAATGCATTTCACAATAGACATGGGTCATTTATAAACTGCAACATAATACACATGGGGCCCTATTAATACCAATGTATCTACTTTGGACATACCCAGGTATATGCCAGCTGGCAAGTTTTTTTCTTGTCTGGAAGTCTCCCTGTAAAAGGAAAACACACCTACTTTTTGACTGTCTTGTCCTACCTGCCTGGCACGACCCTATGATTATACTTTGATGTAGGAGTCATTTTGTAATGATTAAATATGTTGTGGTAGTATTTGTTTCCTCCCTGTATAAACCGAATGAAAAAGAAAGTAGTATTTTTAGTAAGCACTTATATTGAATTCTTTATTTTGACTTTTACATGCATATCTGAAAAAAAGCTTGAATATATCCTACATTTCCAATACATTAATGCTAGCGAGTAGGTGGAGCCTGTGTCAAGCTGTCAGCCCATAGCCAATGTGAATGAGCCCTAAATGTTTCAGAGGTTAGCCCAACTCAAGAAAATAGAATAGAGTAGGCTAAACTTAGATCTTCTGTTAGATTTTAAATACTTACAGGTGAACAGAGGATGTGGGGTGCTTGATCGCTTTGCTCAGGTAGGTATTGTATTCTGATTTAGGTTAGGTATGAGGAAAGATCCTCTTCTGGGCTTGTGTTGACAGGTTTTTGTTCATGCCAGATGGGCTTTGCAAAAAGGTGAGGTAAAACCCACTTAAAGGGGGTCAACCTCAGGTGGAACACACCTTTCAATAGATTTGCATTATCTCAAAAGCATCTCAGACTGATGTGAAACTGATGCTATTGAGACAAGCCCAAAGCCTATCAACACAGGCATTTAGGAGTGTCTAGAAATTATAACAGCCATGAGACTGTCCAGAAAAGATACATTCAGTAAAAAAACTAACACATTTCGGGGGTACAGAGGGACTCTCTTCATCACGGCTGATAATGTACTGAGTGGAGAATATGTTGCACCAATAGAGCTGGAACAGTCCTGAAAAGTAAGTTTAGCATGCTCAAGAGAAAAAAAGCCTTTCAGTCGCTGATTTTCTGGTAAAACAGTGACTGGAGCAAGCTTTTTTTCTCCTGGGCACACTAAACTTGCTAATAATACGGTCTGTGTCATGGTATTGTTTCCCATTTGCAGACCACAGACTTGCATTGTAATAAAGAGATGTAAAGCACGAACAACTATAAAGCAATTCATAGCAGGAAGCAGATTCTGCATATGTAATGAGCATATACTGCTGCCCCCATTGCAGTTAGCAACTGCGCAAAAGACTAATAAAGTCAAATAACATTTACACAGATAAAAAGGATTGTTTACTGTACATCAAGCTGACCACTTGTATATCTTAAAAAAACATGACATACTATAGATGTTGCTCCTGTTGTAATAATACTGTACTTTTTTTTCAGTTTGATGCTGAGTGGAGTGGACAAGCTACAGGCAGTGCTGTAATGAGTGTGAACTACATGCTCCTTCTTGAAGATATGTTTGGGCTGCAAAACTGAAATTTTGGAAAACGTCAAGTTTATAACTCCTTTGTGTGCATGTGCACTTCCAAATTTCATTTTACATTTCTGTTGTGCCCTACATGAAAAATAAAGGCAATCTATAAAGATAACTGCGTGCATACTGAAATTTATGGAGTAATTATATGATCATAGAAGATTATCTGCTTTTTTCCCCCCACATATATTTTTTTATTTACAATGGAACAAAATAAACATACGGTAAATATTCAGCCTTTGTCATTTAATTGGGCAGTCATTCGCTTTTTATCCGTACAACAGATAAAATCACATAGAGATGTTGACCTTCAGTTTGATTGAGTCCTCTAAGAAGAAAAGAGTCTGCTGCATACTGTTTTCAGAATGTGATAGTAGATATAATTGGATTTTCTTTAAAACCCCAGGGCATTTTTTTGCCATTAGTAGTCAGAGTATTAATCCAAGACATAACAGAAATGACATCATAGAACGTGGACTTTAAATGTTTCCCTTTTTCTATTCACAACTATCCAGCTGTAGTTTCTTAATGGAATCAGGTACTGATTAAGAATTAAATATGATTAAGAAGTAAAGCAGGACAGAGGTGCATCGAAATGACATTTTCAGACTGAAAGTGAAACTGAAAAAATAATTTCTAACCTTTTCACATTTTTTAAATATTTTATTTTTATGTTTTATAAACTTTTATTTTGTTCTATATTTTTTTATTTTTAATAAATATTTTAATTTTTTTACTGTACTGTTGGAGGCTTCGGGAAATATTAGGGGTCTAAACAGATCACTGATAGTTCCCTTTTAAAAAGAGTCCTCAATCTCTTTTTCTGCATCTCCTGTTATCAGATAGGTGGCACAGACAGCAAGAGACATATTGTAAGTATGAACTGTCTTCTTTGAAGGGATGCTTAGTTTTTAATTATTATTCTAGCAACATGGTCCCTTTAATACAGAGGGAAAACAAATGTGTAGGGCTGCCCTTAGACCTTATAGGGTGGTGCTTGGATATGGAGACATCAACTAACTGCACTCAGGGCTAAAAATCTGTAGAACATTTTAGTGTTCCATAAACATTCATGATCAGCTCTGCTTTCAAGTGTCTACAAAGCCATAAAAAAATAAAGTCTGTTAGCTTATCCTCCATCATTGCAATGCTAGTCCATAGTTCTTGAGGCTTGCAGAAGAGCATTTTCACCCTGTGCTGTGTATTCATGATCCAACACCCACCATGCCTGAGACCCACCCACCCTAGCTAAACGGCAGTAGCATCCACCTACAGTGAAATTTGCTACGGCACCTGCACACCTTAGTGGCAAATGTACCCACAGCTAAGATGTGGGAGCATGTGTAGAGAAAACATTTGCATATCAGAAAATGAATACCAACGAAACATTGACCCTTGGGTCCATGAACTAGAAACTAGAAGCTAGAAGCCAACACACTCGCATTGCAGGGGCCGCAGTGTCCCTAAATTGACACTGTATGAAATGGAACTCCTGCTCAAGGAGCACATCTTTGTATAGGTGATAACTCAATGACATAAATTGGAGGCATATTCACACAAAACATCACATCACCTCTAATGTGTGCACTGCAGAGGATCGAGGATGAAGTGAGGTTAGACAAGTGCAACACGAGAAACACCCATGGCAGCTTAGATAACCTCCAATGGCCCCAATGACCCGGCTAATTTTGTCTCTAGGTACCATTTTGTGTATTGGAACAATACCTTTACGTCCTTTAATTGTTCAGGCGTTAACTCAGCCCGAAGAAATGCGGACCACTGGGCCTCTAATTTGTCCAATATCATCAGTTTGTGAAGGAATTCCCTCAGCGTAAGGAAGGTGGGGAGGGAAGTAACCAATTTATCAGTATCGTCTTTTTTGCTGCCAGTAGACACAAATGTTCCCACCGGGAGGGGTATTCTAACGGTGCAACAACAGAGGAGGACGAGGGTATAGCGTGGAATAAACAAAGAGCCGGAGTATAGGATCTCGGTTTCCCGTGTTGTTATGCATGAAGGATAAAACCTCCGACCAGAATTGTTGAATCCGGTGGCAGAGCCATATCAGGTGATCTAGATCAGGGTAGCTGGCGTGACACTTAGGGCAGGCTGTTAGCCAATGTGATGCAAACTTTAAATTGAATGCATAGGCTCTGTGTACCAATTTAAATTGAATCTCCCTCCACGTTTCACATATGATGGCCCTCCGAAGTGATAGCCACCTATTGAGTAACGAGAGGTCCGTCTCTTCCACAGGTAACTGGAGAAGTGTCGCCCATCTATGGACATGTCTGGGAAACACTGGGGGAGAAACACAACTGGCCGAGGATCTAATGTGTGACAGAATGTTAGAGAGAGATACCTTCTGTGTGGGTGAGGCTAAAAGTCTGTAGAACGACGTATGCATCGTCATAGGCCACGGCTTAGGAAGGTTAGTTTGAATAAAGTGGCGGACCTGGGCGTACTGCAAGAAGTGTTTGTCTAGGATCCCGGAAGTTGTTTGTAGTTCCCTGAACTGTTTGCATATACCTTGAGGTGATAATACGTCCTGTAGAGTGCAGATACCCCTTGATTTCCAAAATGAGAAAACCCTTGATTCTTGGCCTGAGATAAATGCCAGGAGGACACCAGTGGCATCAGAGGGGAAACCACCCCAGGGATCCCATACAGTTTCCTGAACTCCCTCCATGTAATTATGGTGTCCCGCAGGGGGATGTTCGTTTTGATGTGTTCGGGAAGAGCTTTCCACGGAGTGTTGAAAACTCCTGAAAGAGACCAAGGATGTACCTGATCCAGGCGTGGGTCTGTGAAGTGTGAAGTCCCATGCACCCAATCCCTGGCGTGTCTAAAGATGCTCGCTAGATTATCAAGTCTAACATCAGGTATATTTGCCCCTAATAAGGATTTGGGCTGTTTGAGCTTGTGCATGGCTATGCGGGGGCGCTTTCCTCTCCATATGAAAGTAGCAAACGCTTTGTACAACATATGAATGTCTTTGTGTTTAATAAGCAGAGGAAGTGTCCGCATAGGGTACAACAGCCTTGCAAAGCTGATCATGCGGATCAAATGGCATCTGCCCAGTATAGAGAGACGAAGGTCACACCATTTATGCAATTCTTGTATGATCTTCTGAAAGAAGGGGATATAATTTAAGTGATATAGATCGGTGGCTCTGTTGGATATATGAATACCTAAATAAGTTATAGATCGCCTCTGAACGTGAATGGAGAGTTTAGGAGGCCATTGGGATGTGTCGATGGATTTACCAGGAGACAAGAGCAATAGTTCATAGGCAATTAATTTTTAGTCCCGAGAACGACCCATAGTGTCTTATGAGTCTGAGCACGTCAGGTACCTGTGAGGATGGGTCAGACAACACCAGATGATGTCAACTGCAAATAGAGCCAGTTTAACCTCGTGGGGCCCCATTCGACTCCGCTGGAATGTCCGGGAAGATGAAAGGGATCTGGATAGTGGTTCCAGAGCTAAATTAAAGAGCAGAGGGGACGGCAGGCATCCCTGCCTCGTCCCCTTGTGCAGTGGGAACGGGCGTGACATAGCTGAAGGTGTAAGTATGCATGGTTGAGGGGAGGTGTAGACAGTAGTAATAACACTCAAAAATGAACCTGAGAATCCCATACGTTGCATAACCATGGGCAGCCACTGCCAATTAACATTGTCAAAAGCTTTCTCCGCATCCAATGATAAAAGAGCCATAGGATGCGAAGAAGGCAGGTTCAGCCAGTGGTCTTCTAGAACCATGAGAATCTTGCGAATATTTGATACAGCCGACCGACCTGCAACAAAACCCACCTGATCAGGAGATATCAGTTTCGGCAGCACGGCCGCCAGTGTATTGGCTAACATTTTACACAACATTTTGGCATCTAAGTTGAGTAGGGAGATAGGTCGGTATGAGCCGTCCTGCATAGGATCTTTCCTTTCTTGGGCAATAAGCAGATATAGGCATCATTAAAAGTGGGAGGACATTATGCCCTGATACAGTGCTTCTAACGTAGGAGCTATGTAGTCGGTATAATTCAGCAGAGTAACCATCTCGGCCGGGAGCTTTGCATAAGGGGGAGTGTTTAATTACCTCCAAGATTCCTGGCAGAGTGATATCGCCATTCAGCAGGTGGAGGTCCTCAGCAGACAAAGAGGGTAACTTTAGAGAATCTAAAAATTGAGCACCACCGGGTAAGTCTCCTTGCTCGGGCCCGTATAGTTTCTTGTAGAATTCACTAAAAATATCGCCTACCGAGGAAGGGTCAGAGTGAACCACCCCCTTCTTGTCTTTTAATTGTAGGATGTGGGAGCTAGGTCGCCCACCACAGGCCAGGTTTGCTAACAATTTGCCCGACTTGTTTCCAAATTTGAAGAGTGCCAGACCGGCTGGGTTTCTAAGTATCAGGTCATGTTGGTGCAGCCAATGGTCGCATGCCTGTTTGGCCGCCAACCAAGATGCCCTGTGCGTCGGGGAAGGGTAATTTTTGTAGTCAAGGTAAGATCGCCTGTCAGCCATGCTCACCTCCGCATAACGTCTCCTGATCAGCCTTTTTTTCACAATAGCATATGCCAGTATACGTCCTCTCAAAACCACCTTTGCGGTCTCCCAAAACAATACAGGATCAGACACATGAGCAGCATTATTAACAGCGTAGTCACTCCACCATTGTTGAAGCTCCACCTGGAACGCTTCATCTTTTGCCAAATAATTGGGGAACCTCCAAATGAGGGGGTGACTAGGCACACCAATATTATGCAGAGTAAGCAGCACCAGGGCGTGATCCAAGATCACCAAATCCCCGATAGTCACAGAATCCAGTTTGGACAACAGGGAAGATGAGGCAAAGAAAAGGTCTATACGTGACAGCGAGCCATGAGCGTGGGAGAAGTGGGTGAAGTCTCTTTCCAGAGGGTGGAAGTGTCTCCAAGTATCTGTAAGGCCTCTGGATTCAATCCAAGTGGCGAAGCATGTATCCTGGGGATTGCGATATGAGGT